CTGCTTTGAATGACCTGGAGAAGAAAGATATGATCATTTTCAATGCATGGAATAGTATTCCTGACTCTTACGATCAGCTGAAAAAGCTCGCGTTTGTTGTTGTTTCCCTTTTCGGTTCTACATATATATGCGAAAATCTTTTTCAAGCACAAACATTATCAAGAGTAAACTGAGAAGTCGTTTTACTGATGAGAACTTGGAATCATGTCTAAAATTAAAAACAACAACATACAAACCTGACTTACTCAAACTTTCCAAGGTGATGCAAGCACATTTGTTCGCATTAATAAATATTTATGAAGTATTAAATTTAGTTTTATTTAGTGTAATAAAAGTTTACTAAACAAGCAGATTTGGCTCCCAATTTTTTTTAATTGTTGTAATGTTCATATTTGGCTCTTTGGCTAATAAGTTTGCCGACCACTGACTTAAATCATACAGTGCAAAACTGATTATTCCTTTGATATGCATTTACTTAAGGGATTATATGGTACTTTCTCACTATGTGTTCCTCCTGATTTCAAGGATCGGTAAAATTAATGTGGTTTAGTTAAATTATTGAGTGTTATATGGGACAGTAATTAACTCGCACATATTTTAGTGCTCATGCATTCATATGCTTTATTTAATTTTCATTACGCTGAATAATATCTGCTGGCTTGAGGATGTAAATATCATCCATAGAGACTTTTGTCATAAAAGTTCTTCTTTTTAGTTCCTAGTACAAAGTAAAAAGGAAGTATTGTAAACGCAAAAAAATTCAGGTATCACATTTCAATGAAAATATCCATTTTTACCACTATTGAATGCAATTTAACAATGTTTTTGCAGTATATCTGTACGTAAGGACAGAATAAAGAAATCCTTTCCCCCAACCAAATTATGAAACTGATTTAAAATGGATTCAGAAGCGATTTTTTTCGTGGCGTCCGTACATATGTTTGTATCTCGCATAACTCAAAAACAAGTAGCCTCAGAACATTGAAATTTTGTATATAGGACTGCTATAACATTTAGATGTGCACCTCCTATTTTGCTTTCAATCGGCCATGCCAAACGTATATAAAATATATTTATAAATATATCCAATCTGTTACCCGGCTCAGCGATCTCAGTTTCTTTACTCTTATATGTTTATAAATTGTACATTTTTTTTGCTGTAAAAATGATTGAATTATGTTGTTCCTATCTTCCGATTAAGGTTTTTACGCCTTTATTTAACCTGCATGCTATAGTTGTAAAATTATCAACAATTTAAAAAATGTTAAGTGCCGCTAAGCCTAATTTGATGGCGGCCATTGCTCTTGTTTACATTTGAAACAGCTGAGTAGCGGATTTGTTGCCAATCTAGAGAAACTTAGCTTCACAACAACAAAGATATTGCCTTCATTTATTATTTAAATCATGCTTAATCCTTTCTGGAATTTTTTCGAGGAAATAAGCATTTAAGATTTACTTCGTAATTTTTAATACAGATATTTTGAGTTTTTATGTATTTTTGCCTTGTCGCTAAGTGAAAACTGAATTAATTGAATGAGAAATACTCAATCGTCTGTGAAAAACTGTTTCTTTTTTGTTTTGTTTGCTTAATTAGTTAACCTGTATGCAATATATGTGGAATTATCAACAAATTAAAAGTTTTTTAAGTGCAGCTAAGCCTAATTTTTTTTTACTATAGCAGCCATATTTGTTTACATTTGAAACTTAGCAGAATAGTGGATTTGTTGAAAATCTAAAGAAACTAAGCTTAGCAACAACAAAGTGATGTCTTCTTTTATTATTGCAAATTAAATGATGCTTAATCCACTCTGGAATTATCATTTAAGTTATTAAATTATCCCATATATTGACTCAGCATAGCGTCCACAACAAATTAAGTCAGTTTTTACGCCTTCAGCGTCTTTTTGCCGAGTGGAACCAAAAATAACTTTCAGTTTTGTGCATCGAAAAATCTGCCTTCTTGCCCACTGGCTGAATTGCTTGTTTTTGCATAGAAACTGTAATTTTAATTGTTTTAACTTTATTTGGTGTTTTATGTTTTCTATATCTTTCAATTTTTTATATAGATATTTTGAGTTTTTATGTATTTTTGCCTTGTTGTGCAGCGAGAACTGAATTAATTGAATGAGAAATATATCTCTAATGAAATTCGAGGAAATAAGTTTAAATGAAAGGCAGGAAAAAATGCATATAATTTAATATTCTGCACAAGGAAGTCATGTGATGTACACAGATTCTTTAATTTAGATTTATGGACAGAACAGTACTATGAGCCATAAAGTTAGTCAAGGAAATGTTTTCGCCAATTCAAAAATTGGCCAATGAGCCAGCAATTTTTCAAAAAGTACCAGATACAGTACAAGGTCCGTAATCCGGACTCGTCGGGACTTCAGTGATTCTGGATTAGGGATTTTCCGGATTATAGACCATCGATTTGAATCTGGCAAGATGGCATGCAGAAATTATACAATTAAAAATATGAAACCATAATTTATGAAATAAAGAGCAATTATGATCTAAAAGATATCAAAATTTACAAAAAAAAAAGAAGCTTAATATTTATTTGTTTACATTATTAAACATTTCTTTCAATGTAAGTTGTTTAAGTTGCTTTGTTTTCTGTGCTAATATTTTCTCTTTAATTCTATAAACAGACATAATTTCTTGTTCAGTTACAAAGTACATCACACTGTTCAAGTCCTGTAATTGTTGTGCCAAGAATACCGACTATCTTGTCAATTGAAATTTTTTCATTTTCAATAACCTCACTGTCACTTTCTATTGGAAGCACACATGGGTAAATGCTTTACGCGCATGTGCAGCGGACGCGCGCATTAATCGCACATGCATAAGTTTGTGGCTTTGAGGTCCGGATTATAGATCATTCTGGATAATGGACGTGTGGATTATAGACTTCATACTGTATACATATATGTGATGTTTGATAAGCACAGTTAATACAGATCTAGCACACATTTTAAATTGGTCTTAATATATACAGAATTTGGTCATTACTAATGCAATTGATTGCTATAACCACAATTAGGTTTATTTGTTATTTGAACTCTATTCATAAAGTAAATAATTAGTATGGAACACTGATACTACAGAGTTTGAGTATTAAAATGAATTGCATAATTCTCTCTTAATTCTGATTTGCATAATATATACACAACTCATAAACAACCTTGATAACTATCACTAACTTCTCTGTATGATTTAACAAATTCAAAAGAAAAAGTAAAACTTCAAAACTGAAAATTAAGTTCATATCAAAGGTGAAACTGAAAAGAAAACAAAACTTATATATAATAAACTTATTAATATACACAAAATTACACATTTCTCACCCTTGAAATTCCATATTCAATTCTGCTCAGTATTTGGTACTTTTCCGTTTCGCCAGCGCAAATTTCGCGAAGCAGACTTTACTGGCAACAACATACAGTATACACGTAAAAAAATTTTAACAAATGTTAGATTTAAGAATTTTTTATTTTGAAGGTATAAACATTTTAATGTCGTTTCAAATTTTGTAAAAAAGCCAATGAATAAAGGCAATAAATTCATAAAAAGACATTAATTTAAGAATTTACTATGCTTTCATGGTACAACATCCTGATTCGCAGATTCATATCACGTGACCCCAAGTGATCTCATCTCATGTAAACTACGCTACAAAAATCTAATTCTCTCAGTAATTATCTACATTAATTCAAACTTAAATCTTAATTTAGAATGCAAGTTTAAATGCAAGAATTATTTCAATTCGTACGAATAGCTTACTCAGAAATTATGTAAAACTGCAGTGCTTTACTTTGCCAGAGCATTCTCATTAGAATTGATGAACTTAACCCTTGACTTTGCCTTTTCTATATTTCATCATCGGGTGAGTGGTGTGATTGCATCCTAATTGGCTTAATTACCGCCCGTGAATGGCCTTAGGGCATAAAATTGAACTATCTGTTAAAAATTCCATGTAATTGTATGCCAGTACTGAAAGACACAATCTAACTGATAAGAAATGGCTGCAGCTTGTTTTGAAAATGAGGAGTAAAATGTCACCAATGAGGATATTCTGTTTGGCATCGGTTGTACCATTATTGACGACTTTATTGTCTGCGCTGGAAAAACGGAAAAGTACCTAATATTTTAATTAAACATTAGTTTTAATTATATAAACAGTACATAATTAGAATTCATTACAATCTTGATACATATTGGATACAAATGTTTTGAATCAAGAGTACATAAAATAAAGTTGATATATTGAAATCTATTAAAAATGTTTAACAAATAGTACATTGAAATAGAAGTTTGAAAAGTGAAAATTGTAAGATATTCCTACTTCTCTCATCAAATTTTCAAAACAACCTAGCTGCTTTTTCTTAACAGCCATTTTCCTGATCAAAAACTCTTCTTTGCATGTTTTTTCCTTTTCAGCTTTCAGAATCGCCAGTGTCGGGATCAAAATGATCAACTTCATGCCCACCACCTTTGTATTATCTTCTATAAACAACAACAAGTTTAAAATGAAGAGGGTGTGAGTGATACGACACTCAATTTGAAAAAGAAGTTTCTTTCAACAGTCTGAAAAATAATTGATTCCTTTTTTGGCTTTGAAGTCTGTTCACTAAAAGAAGATGGTAGCCCAGAGATATGTAGGTTTCATGGAAAGGGGGTTCTGAGAAATGCTTCTTTCAATGCATTGTCCCATGTAGAAACAGAAGATGTAATAATGGTTTTAGGAATGAAATCAACAAACAATTTTTTAAAAAATTACCAACAGATTTTTAACAAAAAAGGGAGAAAGCTTCTAAAAATAAAAGAAGGATGTTTAAGGCAAGGGAGATATCTAGTATGGAGCCAAAAACAGGTAAAGCAATATGCCAAAATGGCACCAAAAATGTACACTATGGTTTTAATGGACAAGTAACATTCAAACTTTATGATACATTTTAGAAACTTGTAACTGATGCTTATAAGCAATGAAAACTTACAGCTTTTGTAAATGAAGATACAGCTTTCTTATCCAGGTCATCTGGTTTAAATGAAATTTTTACTCTATATATATCATCTTCTACTGCAAGTTTCTGAAACATTAAAAAAAAAAAAAAAAAAAGAGGAAAATGAGAAGGAAAATAATACAAATAAAAATACAAAATTGCTATGTGTGAAAATAAGTTCCAAACTAAAATTTTTAAACCATTTTCAAAAATAAAAATAAAAATGTAATTTAAAAGGGGAAAAACTGAAATATGTACATTAATGCATGTTTCCAAGGCCATTACAAATTACAAATGCATTCGCAAACATCATCCAAAATAAAAAAAAAAGGGAATTTAAAAAATTTTATATTGACACCAAACATTAAAAAGCAAAATCTTAAAAAACTGATTAGTGAATTTTAAAAACTAAATACGTTTGGACTATGGGTTCTGATTAAGAGTTCATTACTTTATTCTACATAAAACAATATTGATGTACAGTAATTTAAAAAAAATCCACAATAAAATTTTATATTTACTTTTCATATACAGAATTATGGCACTTTTTTTATTATCAACCCCTTCCAAAGAAAAATCAACACATTGGCAGCTTCTAAATTTGCAGAAAAGATTTGTTTGATAATCGTTATGGCCCATAAGTACTGTGCAGTTTATAAATACTAACAAAAAGAAATATTTTATAACTAACAAAAAAATTTTACGAGGGAAGGGGGTATTATATGGATGACTTTATATTTTCACAGTTGGTGAATATTTTTCCATTATAGCCTTTACAAGTTTTCACAATATTAATATTTAATTATGCATTTAGGAATACAGTTTCAAATACAACTGCATAAATAAATATCACTGTGTTAGATGAATTACATACATCAAATAAACATACTATTTGATTTATTGGCTTAGACAATAAACAGTTAGATAAAACATATATCATAATTTTTCTTAGTACAAAATGTTTAAATAGCAGAGATGTATAAATTAATTAATTAACTACAAAAAGATTACATTTGTACTAGAAGCAATTTAATACAGAATTTGAGAGAGTGCAGATTATCAGAAAGTACCAAAATTACTTACCTACATTAAAAGAAGAAAATCATTAATAAAATACTTTAATAGCCACTTTATAGGCAAAATTCAAGTGCAGATTATCATTAACATTATGTTTTATAGAAAAAATAGTCCTAAACACATCAAACATTAATAGGACATGCTAAGAAACTGACAAAGACTATTAAAAAATATAAAAGTCCATTACCTATTTTAAATAAAATAATATTTATATTAAGTAATAAAAAACCCATGATTTTACATTTACTCTATATATGAAAAATTATTATTACTTACAGAGAAGACTTTGGTGGTAATTTGAAACTACTTTTTCTTTATTTTGGGTGGAAAAATTTTGGCAATTATTTCTAAAATAGCTGTGAACAGTTTTTACCCTGAGCTACAACTTTCTGTTGCCACATGAATTCTGCTAAGTACAATTTCAAATGATGTCTTGCTGTGCCGCTAACTTTCTAGTTCTGCCATTTTGAAGAACACGATACTACTCATATGTAAACTCCATAAAATTAAATTATAGAATAGAGATCCATAAAATTAAATTCATGATTCAGTTTAAAAAGCTAAAAACTGGCTTTTTAAAATTCTTCTGTTTTAGAGGAGGCGCGGGAGTTGGAATAAATAAATTATTGTTCCTTTTTTGATATTTTCTTCAATTTCATTTAACAAAGTTTTGGTTTTTTGGTCAGGTTTATAGGCATTCTTACTAATGTCATACAGTTGCAATAGTATAATTTTCATATTATGATGTCAAATTTGGCTAATATTCACTCTTTTTTGGTGAATTTTGGCTTTTACTCAGTTAACATGTACATACCAAATTATTTACAGATAATCGATCTTCATAAAAACAATAATCCCACCAGTAAAATATTTTTCATTGAAATTTAACTTAATATTCAAGCAAATGTTATCTTATAACGTTATACACTGAATCTTAAAATAATAATAATAAATAAACCATTAAAATATTTTTGCTACAACATCACTGGGAAATTTAAAATCTATCATTAACATCAAATTTTATGAAGCAAACACAGAAAAATATCCTCAGAGGATTCAAATTTTAATGTTGCACCACAGGGTTTGTTGAAGATTTTTTATGCTCTCATCTCCCATTTCATCTGCTTAGACTACCTTTCCAGTTTATGCTCTTGGACTCTTCTTGATATGATCTTAAATGTTTTAGCCCAGAACACATTTACTCTCAAACCTCACATTTGCATTGATTCATTTTTGTTGTCTTCACTTTTTAAATAATTACTATAAAAAAGAAATATACATATATAATGCTTTTTATAAATCCCACAGGTCCAGCTGGTAATTAATGAAAGAATTAAAGAACTGTATTTATTATTTTTAAATCGCTTAGTTTGTTAATCATTAACAGGCAGATTAAATTTTAAAGAAGTTTATCGGTTTGTTAATAAGTATCAGATAGATTAAATTTAAAAACTAAATATATTAAGCTTTGCCAAATGTCATATGGTAGTTAAAAATATTTTATATCTTTAGAATTCCTGACAAAATGTTAAATGTTGCTGTACTTTTTTTTAATCTTCTCTGTATTATTTCTTTAAAAATAGTACAAGGGGATAGTATACAGTGGCAGTATCCTTTAATATGAATGGCTACACATTTTTTTGTTATATCTTTAAAAATAATACCCAAAGATTAAACTTGGGTTTCAACACTCTTTTATTTGTGTTGTCATAAGTTTATTTTAAAGTCATTATATTATTTCGCTAAAAATAATACATAATTGCAAAATCTGAAAAGTGATACATACAAAAAAGTGAGATTTGAGTTTAAAATAGCTTCTCTGGTGCTAAGAATGCCAAAAATAAGAAAGTTGGCTTTTAGCTTAAAAAAAATTAAGCATTAAAAACAACAAGAGATGTTACTTTATATGTTTATTTCATAGTTACTTCATTCACTGCAGTTTTTGTTCTACAGCAACCAAAGCATATATTCAAAATTATGAAATTACACTTCAGAAAATATTCATTTATTACTAACTACCTGTGTGGCCAGCTGCCTAAAATAGTTACAAAAAGAAATATTAAAAGTTATTATAAAAAAAATACATGATTTTAATGAATCCAGCTAATGCAATTTCACAGGTCACCTAATAATTAATAATATTTTAAATGAATCAGCATTTATTGCTTTTAAATTGCTACAAATCTTAATAAATAACAGACTAAATTTGAAAGAAAAATATTGCTTCACCATATGGTAATAAACTAGTCCAAGGAAACTAGTCCACCCACCATACAGCCCTGTTTTAGCACCCAATGATTTTTTTTTATTCCCACACATCAAAAATAAATTATGTATCAGCAATTTGCGACACTCGAAGAAGAGATTGATGCATTCAAGACGCATATTTTGGAGCTACCTCAATTTGAATGGGGAAAGTGCTTTGAAAATTGGTTAAAATGCAAGCAAAAGTGTATTGATCTTCATGGAGAATATTTTGAAAAGCAGTAAAACCAATTTTGATCATAAACATTTGTTTTTTTCATTATTAGGCCAGAAATATAAATAGCAACCCTCGTCTTGGCTTTTTGTAATAAGTGATTATTATTTTTGATTGAAGCAAACCGAGAAATTGCTTTTTCCTTTAACCCGTTCAGGACCAGCGTCGCGTATACGCAACGATTCCACTCCTACCAGCCTGGCATCCCATATGCAACGATTCTGCTCCTACGAGCCCAGCGTCGCGTATACGTGACATTAAAACAGAATGATTTATTTGAATTTTTAAAAGCCAGTAAATGGAGCTAAGTAGTAATTGTTTTCACACGGATTGATTCATACGGCATTTGACCTTCTTGTATTGGCATTAGTTTCTGTTTTGTGCTTCTGGTTTTGAGAGATTTATTTAAATAAAACTGGAAATCACGGCTATTTATAAGTGCGCCTGTGGATTAAAGGGCGTTTTTGTTTATTTCGTTTGGATTTTCTTTTTTATTTATTTATTTGTTTGTTTTTCTATTTATTTTGAAACTTAACATAAGCTTTCTCGTTAATTAAAAAGTAAACATTATTACGAGGGGAAGACTATCATTTCTCGACGCGTAATGCGTCTTGCTCGCATTTCTCAGGAAAGAGCCAGCGTTTCTGTTTTTCTTATTCGATTTAATAGGTCATTATAATGCCTTGAATGGTCATTATATATAATGACACAGGCATTATATTTTTGTACGAGGGCAATCCCCAAAAAAAGTCTCCTATATTTTTAGATATACAAAGAACCGTTTATTTTCTATAATTGCTACATCACTTTAAAGATTGATGAATGCTTTATTTTTCAACATAATCGCCATTTCGGTTGATGTATTTTTGTAGATGCTGTGGCAGTTTTACAATGCCCATGTCATACCAGCTTGCCGCCATGCCCTTCAGGAAGCGTTGAACCTCATCTTTCATCTCATCATTGGAGCAGAACCGTCGTCCAGACAAATGTCAACACGTTGCCGTTTGTGGTCTTCTGTCAGCATATGCAGCACCCATCTTGCACACGCCTTCCGATATTGCAACTTTTCCATTAAAATCCTGTGGATGGTGTTTCTGGAAACCTCAGGAACCAAAATGCAGACAGCATCCAGAGTGATCCTCCGATCTTTACGCATGAGTTCCTCAACTTTCGTGATTGTCTCGTCGGCAATTGACGGCCTCCCGCTCCTTTCTTCATCATGAATTTGAGTATGACCGCCTGTAAACTCTCTACACCACTTGCGAATGTTTTTGACATCCATGCACGACTTCGCACTTGGCGGTAACGTTTATCGGGAGCTCCATTTCGAATGGCTGCCAAGCCAAGACTGAGCATCCTAGCGAAGCGCCTGCGTGCTTATGTGGTAGCGGAGAATGGCACCACCACAACGTGTGCCAACAACCGTATTAAAACTTTCTCTACCGTCCCCAAAAATAGGAGTTTTTTTGGGGATTGCCCTCGTATAATGTCTTTATTTTATATATTTTATATACAAAAACTAATCCTGTGT